CAACATAATAATATAGTGGTAATAGGTTTGATATTTAAATAAAATGTCAGTTACTGGCATATTTATTAAAAGTTCAAAATCTTTATAATATCATGATTGTCTTTTTATAACTATTTAATATTTATGTATAATAATATGTAATTTTGTTATATCCATATTATGTATCTACATAATACATGGTATAATAGGCTGATATCGTTGGGCTACCGCGATCTGTACTATTAATAAAATAAATACAAATAATGTGCCTGTAAATATTGTGACTTTGGTACATAAAAAGAACATCCATTATGAATGTACTACACACAGTGTACCCATCACTCAATAATTTTTCAAGAGGAAAATAAAATTAATGTTTTAACATTTTTAACTTAAAAGGAAAAAACGGTGTCAATTGTTTGGAGTCAAACTGACTCGCCCATAACATAACGTCTAAGTATGCAAATCATCGTATCGCGTGATAGAAATTCTCATTCCTATAATCGAATTTTTGATTGACTCATACAAACACACATACAATATTCACACCTACTTGTGTGTGTGTGTGTGCGTGTTCTAAGTTATAATTACTTATACATCATATTATACACAACGTGATTTAATTAAATAATAACGTAATAGGTATATAGCGTAATTATTTTTCACCTATACTATTAAAGTAAGTACAAGTGTTTCGCGATCATTTTTGACATTGACGTGATATTCACTTTTGAATGTTACATTATGGAGATTTGTCGACTAAACAAACGTACCTATATTATAATATACGACCACGTATTGTACATTATAGTTTTACTGGCTATATTGAAATCATGAAATTTTACAATGAATCACGATTTAATAATTAAATGCATGATAAATAGTGTTAATTGTATTCTTTAATTTTGAGAAGTTCCGGCACGCGGCTTTGATAATATTAAAATTATAATTGTCTAATAACAGCATCTTATAGCTATACGACATAAGGATATGATGGGTATAGTTCTATCTAAGTATCTATGAAAACTATTCCAAAARAAGAAATACAGTATTACTCGTTTCAGTGATTGAAATACATAATACCATTATAATCAATTTCTAGAGATATTTGTTGAATTATTACTCAGTATATAAACGTTATTTTAAAAGTTATTTATTGATTTATTATTTTTATTATTATACCTTAATATAATATATTCGTCGAAAATGTGTTAAATCTACTTTTTTCAAAACTTCATTCATCTATCGGATGATATTCCTTAAAAAACAGACCCTTTTTTGAATTCGAATGGCTAAAAGTTTTGGTCAAATATGGGTACCATGCCGAGCATCGATCCACTCAGTAAGTAATGACGTCATGGTTCACCTAGGCAACCCCCGTTTGCTTAAATCGGCCGTATACACGTGCATACTGACGTACTTTTTGAAACATATTTTCGAGATAAAATATGTTGCCAAAAAATTCGTATTCAAGTCAAGTTAACCTAACGATAGAAATAGGTTACTAGTAAAATTATAACAGTTTATTTAATTCAATTACAACAATAATATCTGTTTACTGACACGCAATAGTAGGTAGATAATATTTTGTTTTTGATTCGGGATAATATGGGCACCTATATATTAAATAAGGAAAGCGAATCATGAGCAAAAAATAAAATGATAATGCAATCATAACTATTAAGAGGACGTGATACCCGCATGTGTTGTCTCCGTCTTACAAATGCGTAACATGGTACATTTTTCGCTCAGCAGAACACGTGTAGCTCCGTTAACTTAAAAATTAGAGTGAACTGACCTCTTATAAAATTTAAAGGTAAGATTATTATCTAGACAACCTCATATGCTTTTTATTTTATATCAAATTTAAAGCGAGTTATGAGTATTTTAAAATTCTGAATTTTTTGTGCATCTTAAAATACTCATAACTTCTTTTAAAATTTAAATATATTAAAAAGCATATGAGGTTGACTAGATAACAATCATACCTTTAAATTTTATAAGAGGTCAATTCACTCTAATTTTTAAGCAAACGGAGCTACACGTGTTCTGCTGAACGTAAAATTTACTATACAATGCACTTGTAAGACAGAGACAACACATGCGGGTATCACGTCCTTTTAACTACCTACATTCAAATCAAAATCAAAGAAAACATTGTGATATTATATATATATATAATATATAACAGCTGATCCCCGTGCACTTTGTTGCCCGTTAAAATTACCAACTCTATATGTCTCTATACGATTCAAAATTTGTGTTTAACAAAACTATAGCCGCAATGAATTCTTGAAGATTTAATCTCCATTAAAAATTTTTTTAACACAGTCACATATAAAGTACAGGACTAAAACAATAGTCAATCATAATATTATTTAATTTAGCTTTGTAAAGGTGAAACAATTTTTAAAATTGGTACCTAATAACAAATTACTAATTTCTCATTCGAACTACCGATCGATTTTTTTTTGGGGAGGCATAACAGCATAGAAATAGCGTTATAACAAAAAAAACAAAACGCACAAAATATCAATAAAAACTTTTAATGTCATATAGACGCACGTGCCAAGAAAACAAATAATAACTAATTAAGGAATAATAATTTCTTTCGCACTAATTATTATTATTATTATTATTATTGAAACTAATAGCAACCATCTATAAGCAAAAATGTCCATCGTAAATCTCAAAATGTCTATTTGAGCACCTCCGCGGGTAGAGACTATCACTTTTTAACTTAGACCTTCTTCTGTCCATAAGGTTATTTCGTCGCAATCGGTCCATCAGTTTAGGAATGCATAAAACACAAAAAAACAGACAGCAATCCATTTTTATACACAGATAGAGAGATTATTAAATTTATTTTGTATTTAAACCATAAGCAAATCATCAAGAATTGAATATCAAATTCACTGAACTAAGAGAAATCGTCCATCAGTGGCTAGAAATCTATCCGGAATCAAACAAGAATAAAATTTCTCCACAGCATGCGAATTATACATTAATATTATATATTATGTAGTACATAATATAATTGAAATGCATTAATCGAGCAGTAGTTAAACATAAATTACATAATATTTCAGTTCCTCGAAGTCGATGTTGCCACTTTATATTTTCCACATTGGCACTATACCTGCGTCCTACTCCTACACTTGTAGCGTGTAGGAAATAGGAATTAACTTTTTTTTCAACAAACTTTGAATCGAACGAGTAATTAACGATATTATTTACGATGTTTTGATTTATAGTTGATTACAACTATAGTAAAACCGATGTGTGCAATGTAAGGAAAACATTTATGTATAAAAATTGAAATCAAATGTCCCTAGTTATAAAGGTAGGTACTAGGTACTATAGTCTATAGGTAAAACAATAATAACATTATATGATTTCACACTAAAATATTCCTGTTAGGTATATCCGCATATAAATATTATTACATTGTAACACYTATCGATAAGCCTGATATTGCAGATAACGTTCGTGGTCGTGTTTGCATATTGAAAAAATATTATAAGTTTTCAAGGTGAATGGAGTACTGTAGCCAAAATGTCAATCACGGTGACATTTACAATGTAATGAAAAACATTGAATACTCAAACATTAGAGAGGTAGACCTCTAGAAAACAAAATATCGTGATCATTCATAAATAATATAGAATCAGATCAGAATTCATTTCCGAAATTACATTTCCAAGGCCTAAACGACCTGACATTGATAAGAAAATATGGTTTGTTGTTACCTGATCAGGGCCATATTGTATCAAGAGACGTTGACGTTAACAGAAAAGCCTTTATTATTCGAATAAAACAATCAAATGTTTTCTAGTATATTTTTATCACCAAGCAATTTATTTAAACGTTTGTGAAACGCATTTATTAAACAAATTATATAGAATTGATTAATTTTAATTCTGAGACAATCGTGTGCAATATAGTCCGCGTTTGCATCATCTGCTAGAAATTATATTATATAAAAACGCAGAAGACAATATAATATATTTTTTTAAATTACCTAAATAAAAATAATATAAGCTACTTTACCTTTATAAATATATCACAATAAATTGTATTTTAATTCGTCAACTAAATATCAAAATTAATTTGAATACTTTGAACTTCCTAATTTCTAATGCATACAATAATATCTATATAATTACGTGTCGGAGATTAAACCGATCAAATTTCTAAAAGTTATCACTAAAAAATAATAGAAAAAAGTTTTGTTTAGAAAATTCCGAGGAAAATTCGATTTGATAATAATATAAACGTTATTTTTTACAACAGTACATTATAAGAATTCTCTGTAATGTGACTGGTGTGCCACGTGATACACGACTGACGCTCATCCATATCCGACAACGTGTACCTATATTATTTACTTTATAAACGTATACGAATCATCTGATTTAAATTTTTTATTTCGCCTGTTATAAGTGTTACTTATAAATATATATAAATTGGATGATGAATTTATACGATTATGCGCTGCACCATCCGCGGATAACCCGGTCCGACCCTGGTTTGTACGGAAAATTATTAGTCTGACCCGATTTCTCCCGGACCTCGCGATTTGAAATGTTAACGTTAATTTTGCATTCAAATCGAACACATGTTTACATACATAATATTGTAGGCTATATGCCTGTGTATATATATATAGTATATCATAGTAAATGGATTCGTATATGCACTCATTGAGGTGCGCATTGGGTTAAACGCAGTAAATTTATATATATATATATATCATCTATATTGAACAAAGAACAAAGTTTGTGTGTGTGTGTATGAGTGTATATGCCTGTAAATATGTACGTGCGTGTGTGTGTGATTTCTTAAGGTTCAAGGATCTCCAGTACGGGTCTCGTCCGGCGCCGCAACCTGAATGTTTCCTCTCTAAGTACTATAATAAACCCTTGTTCTCTGTAAATATTCGCTATATCGCCAGACCAAAGCACTTTTCGAAGAGACAAATAACACAATGTGTATATGCGTATATAACATTTTCAACCTACCTTATAGTAACTGCTAGGATTACAATTATCACAGCGACGAGCACCATGGCGATGAGGACACCGCACACCATGTACACTCCTTCGTTTGGAACATCTGAACAAGAAAAAAAAATCACAGAACAATTATTATTACACTTATTATTATAATTACTATACGATTAACGATTAAGTCTTATCAAAAAAACACGTGAGATTAAATAATAATCGAATAAAATATGATTTTGTATTATTGAAAAAGCTACAAATAGCATAGATTGTGGTCAGAGCATGTTTACCTATTCTATTTTATCTATAATAATATACAACCTATATTAAAATACTCATCATACATTCAGCGTGAWATTTGCTATGTGAAACCCAATCGTTAAATAACTTTTTTATTTGACAATAATTTTTACTGACGATAATTGCGAATAATTTAAAATATTATAATATTTTAGTTTTGATAAAAACATTGTTAATCACTTCACTATACATGTTTAGTCGACAGTTGTATCCGGCAACGTGTATACTTGAAGATATATAGTGGTTTGCCTCGGGAAAAAAAGTATTTACGTATGTGAAATATTTATATTATAATATACGTTTCTTGGGGCTAAAATAAGTTCTTTATGCATTTTTTCCTTAGTTAGTATATAATGGCGCAGACGGGATCATCGACTCTTCTCCGCAGGTCACTAACTTCGTCTCTTCTGTCTCCCACCTCTCACGCGCTTTGTCTGCATATATATGTACTGCCAGACGCACATTATTCAGGGCTTCTCATCCCTATGATTTCATTCGAAATCATATTTTTTACAATTATACGTTGTGTCGTTGTTTAATCGTTATTTTAARGTTATACATTTTAATACTCGTATGCCCCTGGAATTATGATCAAAATGTAATAATTTAAAAGATATTTCGAAGTATACATATTTATACAAGTATATAGTTGGTTCACTAAATGCATCAATTGTTAGGAACCTTGATTTGTGTTATTTCGATGATTGCCTCATCGATGGTTTTGTGTTATGTTTAAGAAAAAATAAAAATAATACAATGTTCAGCATTTTTTAGGCCCACGTGACGCTATACGTGCCTGTTGTACGCTTGTTTCTTTCACTGCAGTTTCACATACAACTAGATATCATACATTTTAGTTTTTACTAAATATAATGTATATATATACTTAGCTAACAATCTTATCGAGGGTATTGAGCCGGAGGGTCTGAAATTTAAAACATTTCAATATCGTTTTTACGGCATGTGCGTTTGCGCTATCGGTATAGGTATATACTGAATGTACGTTATATATTATATCAATTTTAATTAATGATTAGATATATATTTTTTTTATCTATTATATTATTCAACGATATTTCAGTGACATTAATTATTTTGAGGTTATGAGTTCGAGGATCACCACCTACTGATCGTGATTAGGTAGAATAGTCCATAATAACTGGTATAATATAACAGTTATCTATGGATTGGTAGGTTGTAAATATATGTAATGTAACACATGTGTTTTATTATATAGGTGTAATACTACAGTTTCATTTCAAACGATCTATGGTCATAATATTATGCATGCTATTAAAATTGATTATTTCATGTTAATGTATATATAATGGGATTTAATGGGATTTAATGAGATTTTTTAATTTTACTAATACACAATATTATAATACTAGACAGCTCATACAGGAAGTATTAATGTGTAGTAGGAAACTACTAATATATACTATATAATGACTATGATATAACAAACATTTGTGGAATGGAAAAACAACGTTTCAAGTTAGATATTTTGAATGTTCTATTATTCAAAGGTGCAGTCCAAAAGTCATAATAAAAGACTTTATTGTGTTTTTAAGAGTAATATTATACTTATTTGCATATTCAGTATGATGGGCGTAAAATTCAGTTATATACTTGTATATGGAGTAGAGTTTGCAAGAGTATCTTTTTAATGTAAGTGCTCAACACATTTTGATAATAAAATATTTTGAATTGTTTTGTATACATTTGTACAATTTATTGTGTGAAATACGAACTATATATTAACTATATTAATTATGATTAAACGAGTGTTAATTAATTTACGCGTTAAAACTATAATTAAGTACTTACATAAAAACTGTAATTATAATAATTTTAGTATTATTATTATTATTATTTTTTTAGAYATCCATTGCAATAAAAATGTATAAATTAAATTCAATACTACTTCGATACGTATACTATTATACTAAAGTTTACCTAGGTAATAGGTATATATATCTATACTGAATCTTAAGTAAATAATATTCTAGATATCAAAAAATGTAATTAATCATATGTTGTTATMAATTTTGTTATTATCTAAAAGTATAGAAATTTTATTATGAATAAAAAGTTGCTTATTCTTCTTTATTTCTAATTCAAGAGAATGACTTATAATCATTTGTACATATATGCTATATAGCCTATATATATACACACGAATTATAGGTTTAAATGAAAACAGTATGAATCATATCGATGTCATTATGTCAATAAATCATGTATTATTTTGATATTAAGACATCAGGTCGTATACGCCTTTCGACGCGTTCCATCACCATAAATAAATTATTTTAATCCTGATAATATCAAATATAATGGATCAATTGTAATATCTTATAATAACATCGAGATTTTATCTCACGTTTTAACTATTGAAATTAATATCTAAGTATAAAGAAATGATTAGTAATGTGATCGTTGCATTAGGTACCTCTATGCAACAATGTAATAACTTGTTACATGCTTTATGCATATGTACCATTACAAATACTAGGTAGGTTGGCCAGTTTAACCATTAATAGTTATCGACGAGTTTAAATAAATCCATCCTCGAACTGCAATAAATAACAAACACGAAGTTAAATTATTTTTAAATGATAAGCAATTATAATATGCTTTTATAAAGAGGAAAAAAACAATAAATTTTAGTTAAGCAATAAAAAATTATTATTAGATTTATAATTTCTGTAAAATATTGAAATGCATTATATGAACAAATATACGTTTATTTATTTCGAAAATATAAATACATTTACAATCTGTGTAGAAAATTACGCACAATAAGCATAAGTGTTGAAAATTATGAAAAAAAAGGTTATAAATTGACTACATGTGTGTAAATTCTATTGGTCCATACATTAACGGGATTCTAGTGAGTAGTTAAGCCCTGAGGCATTTTTCACAATTTCCTCTTTAGACGACAGGGTGGATTTTCAGGGAGATTATTGTAAGCCAGGTTCGAAATGGGAGGATTAGAATATCCGYAGACTATTTACTAATCTTATTTATACTGCAGTTACCTAGTATATATAGGTATACGGAGATTTTATAGAATTTTGGCGAACTAGTATTGTGTTACAGAAGTAATTCATTACGTCGGTATCCTCCAATGATTATTGTGCACGAATATAGACGGATTAACTTCACTTATAGTGTCATTCATAATCTCTATTGTGAATTAAACGAAAATCGCAACTTTGTAGTGTACTGTATACAGSGTGATTCTTTTATCAAACAACACTTATATGGTGTTGGTGTGTAAATACCACCTAACATACACCTATAACACACAAACGCCACCCAAAACTACCCAACTTTGGGRGGCTATATCTTGTAAACGGATTAACGAAAATTGAAAATTTAAACGTGAAAATTCATTGAAAAAATAGCCTTTTTAGTTTATGACATTTTAAGTATAGCAGGTTGTCATTTGTAAATCAAAAGTTAATAATGGTTTACCTGATAAATATAAGGGTGAAAATATTTAAAAAATATATAGTTCTAGAACAAGATGGATCTAAAATTTTGAAAAAAGTCAATAGTTTTTGAAATAATGAGTGTTGTTTGATAAAAGAATCAGCCTGTATAGGACATAGGTATTATATTACTGTATTGTATTTGTGTAATGTATCGCATTAAAAACTTGGAACAAATTATTAAAATAATTTATCACTAGGTAATAAAACTAATAAACAAAATATATGTTGTAACGTTTAAGATTTAGGGGGGGGGTCTTTGGGGGTTAAGCCGATCATAGTTTACAAATTTACAATTACATAATGTAAGTAATAAATATAAAAAAAAATTTAAAAACTATATAACTTCCTATACCAACACGTAAAAAAATATAAGGTTATAAATAATAATAATGACGTTATAGTGTATATTGTATGCAGCTTACAATAAAATATGTATAGGTTCCTACGTCTTTTTTGGTCAAAGACCAAAAAATAGTTCTCATAAATGTAACAAGTAATTGAAGAACGTGAAAGTAGTTTGACAGAAAAATAAATTAAGTAAATTAAATCCAATTCATTTAAGTGCTTCACATACAAAGAAAAAAATTAATTTAAATTGAAAATGTAAACTTTTTTAACTGAACAAATACGTAGGTATACGACTATAATTAAACGCATTATTACACTACAATCTCTAATAAAATAAAACYAWCTCAGATAGTCTCTTTTAAATTACAATTTTATAMGACTGTCAATTASTTACTTATTTTTTTACATGCCTAGGTATCATATAAACTATATGATTATTACAAATTTTAATATACAATAATTGTAATAATTACTTGTGGTTGATATTTTGTCACCTAATGAAGAGTTTTACAACATATGGGTCTGAGTGATGATAACATTGATAACTGTAATACTAAGAACTATAATGATTATATGCATATGCAATTATCTTTTGTCGTTGTTCAATTATAGATAATATTAATTGCCTGGAATATTCAATTACTCATTAATTGTTTTTTATCATTTGAAGTAATAATGAAATTGAGTATAATAATGACTAAACTTGAACAATCATTAAAAAGCTGATTATGATAATTGGATAGCCTAAAGAGCAAATATTTAAGTATACATATATTATTATAGTTATTTTAAAGTACATCAAACACAGTTGTAATCAATAGATGCCAAACAAAAGACATAAGAACAATTTAACTATACCTATCTCATATCTGCAATGTACTTGTAAGTATACCTAGGTAATTAAAAAATGACATTTGTTTTGAAATAAAATTTCTATTATTATTTTTTTTTTTTTTTAGTGTGATTTGTACAAGTGTCATATTATATTCAAATTTATTTGTTGTGTTTTTTTTATTTAGTTATATTGGGAATGTAGATTGCGACTAAAGAAAAATTTTGTAAATTGATATACGGATTACATTCGAATTTCAAATATATGAAATTATGTTTTTAAGATTATAAATACATTTTCCGATAGTTATACACGTCATGTACTGTCTTATATCATAAGGATGGATCGAGCAACAGCTGAATAATGATTTTGTTGAAATGTAAATGTTTTAACTTAAAAAGACTAGACAAAGTAATAATTTAAAATATAATATACATGCAGTTGATTAATTACCAACGATTTTGAGTATATATACTCGTATATATATATACATACATAATATCATAATATTCTGATGCGTATAACTGTACAGGTAAGTAAATGTCATGTTTATATGTATTCACACTTAATACATAAAACAATTTGATGACGTTTTAGATAATTAAACTTAGGTATTTAAACATCTATAACTACTATAATTATTTAAATCGCGGTGCTTACTCACCGATTTTAAAATGTATTCTTTGTTGTTATTTATGATTCCTTTTTTTGTTGTAAATTCTGTGTTTTTCTAGAGAATGACGTAAAGAGTTAAATAATATTTCATATTTTAAGCAATAGATTATGTCATTATTTCAAGTATACCGTTAAACAGTATAATGTCCATATCAACCTTAAGCCTTTAGTCGTTTAAATAAAGAGATGCCATAGGCAGTTAAAAAAAAATCAATCTTAAGCTTTTGTGCTAGTAGGTATGATAGAAATCTTGACAGGTTCTATGTTATAGATACCTGATTAAAAACAAAATTAAATTACAATTTTATAAAATAATTATGAAGTCACAAAATGCAATTTTATAATTATATTTAACTTTCCATATTTTTTTTTTTTATTACACTTTTTTTGAAACGATTGGTTGATTTTTTTGTGATATATATTGATCACTGATATCATATTATATTCATTGAATAATGTATATGGTAGTTATAACTAATAAGTTTTAACAAATTTATCAAAKATGCTAAATTAGATTAATTGAATTATTTTCGATTTTCAACAAAAAATCATTAATTATCAAATACAATTTCTATTAGAATAATATTTTTACAACAAATATATTGTTTATTTTATCCATMAGATTATCGTGATTGTACATAATAGTTAATAAATAAATAATTTAATAATAATTATAACTATAATAATTAATCTACAAATTCGCTATTAGTAGACTGTCGTCGATGGTTACCTCGTTTGAGTAGTTATATCAAAATCCACTAGAGCACGTACCATAGCTGAGCGAACTCCAATATAGGTTTTAAACTAGTTAAAAGTAGGTATGGGATATGTTAATTTTATACGTAATCTTAACAAATTCAAACGCCATACTTGTCTCAAGTGTATATTATTTGGTTTGAAATATATTAAGTTGTATCAATTTGCGTAGTCTATAAAACTGAATAGTATAAATACTAAATAATTAACATTACATGTAAACATAATTGACACAGGTACCTACTGATTATGTGAATAATAACAAATTAAATCAAAGATTATTGTTTTTTTTAACCTGCGACCTGCGTCACAGAAATCCCAAATTGAAAGATTAAGTGTTTAGATGTAATGTATTTGTAATTCCCTGCAAGAATACCTTTGCGTTATGTTTTAAAGTACCTATCAATAAACTGATTATTAAAAATATGTTTGTATTGTTTGTAAACATGTCAGATGCAATCAAAGTAAGCATTACGATTACGAAGCATGATTCATCAATAAATAAAATTATAATTCATGAACTGCAGTGGCACAACCAATCAGACTAGGATCACAGAGAAAATTTTAATAAAAGACCCTTAGTTTAACGTTTTTAGTTTTCCAAGCTTAAAGATTAGGAAACAATATTTKGAATCGATAAATTGTYGATTAATGGGATTCTCATATAATTCATGAAATAAGTTTATATACATTTTTTTATTTAAACAAAATATAGTATTTAAGGGTTAAGTTATATTTAGTGTAAATCCTTATTCCTTATATACATATATATATATATATAAAGAATAGGCGTTTTTTATGTCCCCATTTTATGACGACGCTTTTTAACTTTTTTCCAATATTTTTTCACAGAGTTGTAAGAAAAATATTTTCCCGGGTATCACCACATTACCCAATTTTTATTTTATTTTTGTCTGAGGGCAGGAAGAGGGAGATTGTATTTGTATTAGTTGCGCCATCTTTTCACCAAAAAATATACTAAACCTATACTTATTACAAAGAGGTAAAGTTTGTGAGGTTGTAGGTGCGGTGATTTCTGAATTTACTAAACCGATTTTGAAATTCTTTTATCAATAGAAAGCCATATTATTTGTGAGCGTTAAAGTGAGTTTAACGTTAAAGCGTTTAACAATAGGTTCGATAGTAACTTGTCTCAATCTATAATGGACGCCCAGACTTAATTATGTAATATTTCTACACTAATTTGTTTTTATAAAAAATATTTCTAAAATAATGTAAAATGATTCATGCGAATCAAAACTAATATCGATTACATACTCGTAAATATATCTAAATATTATTGTATATAAATAATAATTTCTAGTATGAGAAGATGTGTAATAGCATAATAATAATAATATATTTAATGCATTTTAACATATTATTAGTTATTTAACAAATATGGTAATGTGTGTGACTTACCGACATGTTCGGAAGAGTATTCTGGATCTGAAAATAAAAAAATAAAAAAATATTAATACTAATAACAGAAATTTAACAATATTTATTTACGCAATTATTGCTATTATTTTTATTATTGTACTTAGTATCTAGTACCTATAACAATACCTACATGGTACGAAATTTTTTCRCAAAATGTTATGAAATGTACAAAMATAAATTATTTAATGTTCGACATATTTGCTAGACTACAATGGATTTATGCTTTTGTAATGAATATTGATAATCAGTGTCACGTAAGTAAAGTAATTACTACGGAAGTTGGTGATGGGTACCAGGCGATGTTTTACATATGTATATGCATTTAAATTTTAAAAAAATGTCAAATATTAGAGTATGAGATGTGTMTTAATTTAGAGTACGCAGGAAAGTTGGTTTTATCATATTATATTTATTTTACCACGTCATATATTACTTTTTTTTTTTTAAATGTGATAGAATATTGAAAYACCAACACAAATTGTATTGAAATTCGTAAATTTTTCATATAGCCTTCAGTACYTATACTTAGTATTCTACATATAGAACAAACCGGTGCAAATGTGTAATTGTTCGAATTTTTGGTGAGACTGAAGTCTTAATAACATGACATTGATAAGATAAAATACGATGGATTTCACGGTGAAATTTTCACCCTCGCATATGCGTCAAATTTAAACACGTTTTTTATTCAAGTATTGTTTGTTAGAACCACATTTTTKACGAAAAAAACAATATTAATTTATAATTATTGTAATAATTTATTTAATACAGTCCGTGACTCCGTGTCACGTAGACTGTTAATCGTATTACTCTATAGTCTATATTT